ATCACCTGAGCCCAGGAGTTTGAGGTTGCTGTGAGCTCTAAAGATGCCACTGCACTCTAGCCTGGGCAACAGAGTAAAATCAATTATTTTTAAATGTCACTTTAAAATATAACCCAAGAAGTCAACCTGAAAAGGCTACATACTCCATAATTTCAGCTTTATGACATCCTGGAAAAGGCAAAAGTATGGAGCCAATAAAAACACAGTGACAGTTGTTTCTAGGAGCTAGGGAAGAGGGAAGGATGGATAGGTGGAGCATGGAGGAATTTTAGGGCAGTAAAACTATTCCGTATGATAGTGTTATAATGGATACATGTCAGTATACATTTGTCAAAACCCACAGAATGTACAACACCAAGAGTAAACCCTAAACTATGGACTTTGAGTGATAATAATGTGTCAATGTAGGTTAATCAATTATAAGAAACGCACCACTCTGGTATGGGATGTTGATAGTGGGGAAGGCTGGGCATGAGGTAAGTGAGGAGATATTTGAGAACTCTCTGTATTTTCCATTCAATTTTGCTATGAACCTAAAACTGCTCTAAAAGATAAAGTCTATTTTTAAGATAATTTTTTAATGTAACCTGATAATTATTGGCCAAAGCTGCCTAACTAGTATGTACCTTCCTTTGGGCAATGACAAACAGAAGCAGACAAAGTAAGCTTTCCACAAGGCCTTTTGCTAATAGAGAAGCAGTGTGTGGACCAGTATGTTGAGGTTAACATTCCACAAATGATATGCTTTTTCATCTACTCATTTTTCCCATCATTCACCAGCTCCACTTCCGACACCTCAACAGGATACCATCTTCTCCCCTCTCTGCTAGCAGGGACAAAAAGGTTCAGGCTGGACACAGTAGCTGGCAAAGTCTAGAAGAGGTTAGCACCATTCAAGCTGCCTCTGGGAAAGCAGTGCCCAAAGGAACCCTATTCTCCCAGGCCTACTCCAAAGACAAAGTTGTTTTAACAGATTAGAAAAGAAACTCGAAGAAGCAGAGTCACAGCAGAACCTGAGGTCCCCAGGTGCCGGTCTGGGGCTCTCTGCAGCAGCTCTGCCTTGGTTGATTAGCAGGAGTTGAAGTCCTCTGAGAGCCAATTAGAGAAGGAATTCAGAGTGAGGGAGGGAAAAGTGATTCCAGCAACTCTCAATTAAAAGTGAGTAGATCCCACAGCACTGAGGGACAGTGACTCAAACTGTTGCATCAGCCAAGTTCCAATACCAACTCCCTGAACACAAAGAGGGAGCAAAGGGGAGGAGGGAAGCAGAGGTGTCCCACCCTCTGGCAAATTTCCACTTCCTATCCCAAGCCAATATACACCTGACAATTAAGTTGCAAGTGGTATCTCTTGATTAGCCATGAAGGAAACCCCAACATGCTAGGAGAGGGACAGGACATGTGAGAAGCATCACCCTTTAGAGTTAGCCAGAAGGCTGCTGACACACAGCCCTGCTACCAATTCAGAATCGCTCTTGTCAAGTTAGATCACATGTGACTCATTGTCCTTTGTGTAGAACGATAAAACTTCCACGACTACCCTCTCCTCCATCCTGTACTTATAAAATACCTGATGATCTTCAAAGCATGTTCACAAACACTACTTGATCAATTTCCACAAAATCACTGTGGGTTTTGCCAAGTATGTGTAAGTATTTCCATTTAGGAATTTAAAGAAGTTAATACTGATGTTCAAGAGATTTGCCTACGATAACACAAGCAGTATTACTTGTGTTTTTTTAAGCAATACACCACTATGCTTATATAGAGAGAGAATATCTTTAAAAGGAAAAAAAAAATTGAGTAGTTACTCCAATGAGGGAACTAGGGATCAGGAATGAAAATGAACCTTTTTCTCTATATACTTTTTTTAACTTTTCAATTTTACATCATTGTATATTTAACTTCCTGAAATAAATGAAAAAGTTACAATTAGGGAGCAAAAATCTAATTCTCTTTTCCACTGTACAACGCCATCTCCCATGTGGAGTAAGAAGCCAGAGCAGTTTCATTTTTCCCATAAATTCCCACTCATGCCCCATTCCATCACCCCACACCACATATACATGCACAGCTTTCTATGAGAACTTCCCCATGGTTGCCTGCTCTATGCAAATCTGCTAGGAGCTGAGAGTGTGCTGAAAACCAACCAAATCCTAGGAAAACTGAGAATGTGATTCTGGCTTATAGAGAGTGATCCTAAGAACACAATTTTCATTTGAAAAATAAAAATAGCATCTTTGTAATCAATATAAAAGATCAAGATTAGAAAGAATGAAGGCTACAAACCTGCCAGTACCAGGCACTATGGTTCCCCAATACTCAACAGACTGACAGGTCACTGACAAAAAAGGAACATTCTTTCCTGGATAGCATTAAAGGAGATTTCTTGGCCTGACGGAGAAAGGCAGGCTCCCACAAAAAAAAAAAAAAGAAGAAAGAAAAAAAGGCAAGAGAACACAATGAGCATATATTTAGATGAGCAAATTTGAAGACTTAAATGAAATACATAAATTACTAGAAAAATATAAAATATCAAAACTGACTCAAAGGAAAGCTTGAATAATTCAATCCAATAAACATTAAAGAATTTAAATCAATAGTTAATCTTTCCATAAGAAAATGCCAGGTACTGATGACTATATAGGTAAGTTCTACCCCAAAATAAATACATAAATAAAATAAACCAATTTTATATAGGCTCTTCAAATAAACAGAGGAAACACTCTTTACTCATTTATGAAGCTAGCGTAACTTTGATACCAAAACTAGACTAGAATACATTAAGAAATAAAAAGTACACGCTCATAAACTAATATCACTGTGACTCACAGATACAAAATCCTAAATATTACTCAAGTTAATCCAGTAATGTATAAAAAATATATCCTGACCAAGAAACGTTTGTACCAAGAATGCAAGTTTGGTTTATTGATTGAAAGTTGAGCACGGTAATTCACCACATTAACAGATTAAGGAAAAAAAATCATTTGCCATTTCAATAAGTACAGAAAAAGCATTAGGTAAAATCTAAATATTTTGATAAAAACTCAAAACAAAGTATATAAGAACAAGTGTATGTAAAAACATACAACAAATATCTTAATGATGAAACATTGAAAGTATTTTCCTTAAGTATGGGAACAAGACAAGGATGCTTGCTGTCACCACTTCTATTCAGCATACTAGAGGTCCTAAATAGTGCAGATAAATAAATAAATAAGAAAAGATTGGAAAAGAAGACATAAAATAGTCATTATTTGTACATGGAAAACTCAAAAGAATCAACAAATTATTAGAATGAAAAGTTCTAAAAAGGTCATGGCTACAAAAAACATATAAAATAACCAATTCTATTTCTATTTCTATTCCCAAACACAGTCAGCAAATGTCATTTTCAAAAATACTGCTTACAGCAGCAAAAACTATAAAGTAGCTAGGAGTAAATCTAATAAACGATATGCAAAACCTTTCAATTATTGAAAGACATTGGAGAAGACTTAATGGATAATAAGAAAATCATGGATAAGAAGATTTAATGTTACGAAGATGGCTATTCTTCCTAAACTGATCTATACATTCAATACAATCCCAGTCAAAATCCCAGAGGCATTTATTTTTCACAAAAATGTAATAGCTGATTTTAAAGTGTAAATGGGACACTTGCAAAGAATATAAAAGAACTTGTCTGATTAGATACCGACTTCTTATAAAACTATAAAACAATATGGTATTGGTATAGAAATAAATAGGCCAGAATAGATCAGAATAGAGAGCTCAAAAACAGACCTATATATATGAAAAGTTGATTTAAGACAGAATGGGCTTTAAAGACCAGTAGGGAAAGGATTTATTCTTTAATAAAAGATGCTGGGCCAATTAATATTCATTAGGAAAAACATACATACATTTAAATCACAACATAAACAAAACTCAGCTGGGCGTGGTGGCTCATGCCTGTAATTCCAGCACTTTGGGAGGCTGAGGTGGAAGGATCACTTGAGGCCAGGAATTCAAGACAGGCTTGGGCAACATATGTCTCCATGAAAAATAAAAAAAAATTAGCCAGATATGGTGGCTCACGCTTGTCCTCCCAGGAGGCTGAGGTGAGAGAATGGCTAGAGCCCAGGAGTTCAAGGTTACAGTGAGCTATGATCATGCCATTGCACTCCAGCCTGGGTGATAGAGTAAGACCCTGTCTCTTTACAAAAATTATTTTAAAAAAAAAGTCACAATGAAAGAAAAAAGCAAAATCATAAAACTTCATAAAACAACAGAAGGGAATTAAATGAGTTCTTTTCTGGTCTGAGGTATCCAACTATGGCCACACTGAGGATTTCCCCATAGAAACTCTTTGAAGGTATGCATGGTATGAGTTTCCATGGACTTTTTTGTGTTCTTGTAGTATGGTTCCATCCCATGCTTACCACCATCTTGTGGACATCTCCACTTCCATCATGGCCCAACCACAATAAATGCCAGTGGATACATCAGCTGGAAGATTATCTACTACTTGCTCAGGAAAGTTAGCTGTGGGGATGCCCAGATGCTTAATCCGCGGCCGAAGCCCTGCACCACTTGTCCCCGGCAGAAGTACGGAAGGTCCCTCATGAGCCGTCACTTGGGGCACGGGCTGTGGCCTGGTCTGCACGTCAGGCGGAACCGCTGTCGAGGCGGTGTCCGGTCCCCAGACCAGCCGGGAGACACGGGCGTGAGCTCTGCCCGCGACCCCGGCACACGAGAACCTGGGCGGCGCTGATGGCACACCGCGGTGGGTTCCCTCCCGCCGCTGACGCAACAGAGCTGCCCAGCGACTCAGTGGCTGCGTCTCCCAGAATCCATTTTTCATCACACATAGCTGTATGGTGTAGAAACGGTTCACCTTTATGTTGTGACGGCAAAAAAAGGCAAGCTTTGACACAATTACTCCAATAAATTGAAGTGATCCTAAAACCAAGAATCCAAGCCTAAAGAGAATGAAGCAGGACAAACGACACGGTATTTTTTTTTCCAAACAAATTTAATTCCGTTCCAGCCCCAAAGATGGGGAAGGACCTAAATTTTAAAAATAAAAATTGCTCAAAAACAAGGCCATTAGAAAATTAAGCCCCCTCCCTCAGCAATAAATATTGAAATGATATATACACAAGGCTCAGGAAGGAGGCAAGAACAGGAACCTCGGGGACTCTGTCCCATGGCAAGATCCCAACACTTCTACCAATTTCATGCTCTTAGCTTAAAACAGAGAGCAGTAAACAAGGCAGGAGAAATATACCAGGGGAGCATGTGGCCCTGGAGAGAACTGCAACAGGGTAATAGGGGAGACAGAAGAGACACAGTATCTTACAGAACAGAGGAAAGTAAAGCCTTCATTTTAAACATCCCCCCATCCCAGTGGAGTCACTCGATGTGTCTGGTCCAGCTGCAGAGTGCCTTGAGCTTATCTCCTCTGCTCCATTCCCCCGTTAGCGAGCAAGTCAGGGAAGGTCATTCACACTGTGGCCACGATGCCACAGTGGCAGCAGCCTGGCTGCTGGAGCCCTGAGGCTTCCCATTCACCACCAGCAGGAGGGGCGTCTCCACACGAACACTGGAAAAGGAGTAGTCCTAGAAAAGGCAGACAGATATAGCTTCATTATAGATTCCAAGATGGAAAATACTCCAGCATGAGGATATGCCACCTGCAACTCCCCTGCCTCCCTGCTCCCAGTATATACACCTCCTACCTCCGTCTCATGTTAGATACAACTGAGCTAACAAAGGGGATATAACTTTCCCAAAGTTTTCAATCTTCAGAAGGAAACTCTGGGACGGTTAGGGTACCAGTAGTGTCACTACAAGAATGGGACGGTTACCTAATTGAAAAAAGGCAGGTTTCTGGCACTGTCTAACAAAAGGATGCAACGGGCATCTCACACAATCTGCCCTTTCCCACAGTGTTTTTCGACAAATAACTAAATAGCTATAGCAGCCGGCCAGAGCCAGCAGAAATTCTGAGAAATTCTCAGTCAAGTGTCTGTACAGCCCTAAATTAATCTACCAAATAGAAATTAAAGTTACTTCTCCCTTTTATATCAAGAAGAGGAAACAGAATGTATAGATTATGCTTAGTCTCCTAACAAAAAAAAGATACTAGCTCACATTATCAGTTCAAGTGTATTTTAAGTTGTAAAACATGTTGTTAAAAGATCTCCCAAAAAATACTGTTCCACTGGAGTGTGAAGCAAGCTCTTTTATGTCAATGTAAAGTAAATTAAAAAGTTCTCGGCCGGGCGCGGTGGCTCACGCCTGTAATCCTAGCTCTCTGGGAGGCCGAGGCGGGCGGATTGTTTGAGCTCAGAGTTCAAGACTAGGCTGAGCAAGAGCAAGACCCCGTCTCTACTAAAAATAGAAAGAAATTAATCAGACAACTAAAAATATATAGAAAAAATTAGCCGGGCATGGTGGCGCATGCCTGTAGTCCCAGCTACTCAGGAGGCTGAGGCAGGAGGATCGCTTGAGCCCGGGAGTTTGAGGTTGCTGTGAGCTAGGCTGATGCCACGGCACTCACTCTAGCCCGGGCAAAAGAATGAGACTCTGTCTCAAAAAAAAAAAAAAAAATCATTTGAGGAAATAATCACAGATATGGGCAAAGATATAAAAATGTTCACTATAGTACTTTTATAATAGGAAAAAATTAGAAGTAATCTAGATCTGGGATCATCAAACTTTTTCTGTGAAGAGCTGGAGAGTAGATATTTCGGGTTTTGTCGGTCATATGTATGTCTCTGTTGCAGAACAAGTCACCACTGACACTGTAGTGCAAAAACAGCCACAGACAACAGTAAACAAATGAGTGTGGCTGTGATCCAATAAAGCTTTATTATGGACACTGAGATTTAAATTTCTGTAATTTTCATGTATTATAAAATATTATACTTCTTTTAATTTTTTTCATTTAAAAATAAAGAAACCATTCTCAACAAAAACAGGCAGTCAGTCAGATTTGGTTAATGGGCCATAATTTACCAACCCCTGATCTAAAAGGCAAAAAAGTGGTTAAATACCTATACTCATAAGGTTTTTGTGAGGATTAAATGAAGCAATGCTGACAGTTAAATTCTTAGCACAGTGTGTAGCGCTCAGTTAAGTGTTCAGTAAATGCTAACTGTCATCACCATCTTCATCACCACTACTATGTGTCAATTCAAAAATAATGTGGTGAAATATGTACGAACATAGAAAATGTTCACAAATATTCGCATATATGCATTTATGATTAAAATATACATATGAATATGTATGTATATATTTATGAAAGGAAAAAAGACTTCAGGTATATACACCAAACTGTTAACAGTAGTAACATCTGAGTGATAATACTTCAGTCCATCTTTTAATTTATTTTTGCTTACAAGTAGTTTCCCTTTAAAAAAAAAAAACATATATATAGCATATGCACACACATATAAAAGAATTAACCTATACATACACCAAAAAATTACACACACACACATATATATACCATATACACACACTCACATATGTGTTATTTCTATACCTATTTTTTAAAAAGGGATAGGCTTGGTTCCACTTTCAGAGCCCATGAGTTGGAAGAGAATCCCAGCCATGACTCACCTTTCCCTTGTGCTGAATTTGGTGAAGCCGGAGGTTGGGCTCAGGAATGGCTACAGAGTCCCCAATAAGCACTCCCCAGCTCTGCACCATATTATACACCATCACGGCATAGCAAGGTCCATCTGAATCTACCAGGCCAAATGTACTGCCAAGTTAAGATGGGTTAGAAGAGAAACGGGAAAAAAAAAAAGACATGTGGGCAGGAAAGAAGAGCAGAAATAGTGGTTTTCACAATACCAGCAAAATAAACAAATGCTTTCTCAATTACTTACTGAGAAAATCTATGACAGGTACCATCATCCACTTTGTACATCTAAGTCCTCATTTGTCTTAAACTCATCAATCTGTCACTTTGCCAAGAATTTATGACACATGTATACTGAGGACTACAGCAAAGATTAATGATGAACTAGCCCAAAATGTTATAGCTGTAACATTATTCCTGGACTATCAATTTAACTATCATACCCTTACCAAAGCCTCTAACCATCACTGTCAATGTAGTTTAATTTCACAAACTTTCACTGAGTATTATGTATGTGTCAAGCATTGTGCTTAGTAGTAAGATATCAACTCAGCTATGAATGAATTATAGTCTAGCAGGAGTCAAACAAAATCATCACTTACAGTACAGTGTGAGGGGTGCTAGAATAGCTTTTCCTTTGCGCTGAATTTAGTGAAGCCACAGGTTGGGCTATGGGAACCCAGAAGAGAAATATCTAAATCAAAATTGGAAAGTAGGAAAGATTCCCTTGAGGAGGTGACCCTCAAAGTGAATCTTTTTTGTTTTTGAGACAGAGTCTCACTCTGTTGCCCAGGCTAGAGTGCCGTGGCATCAGCCTAGCTCACAGCAACCTCAAACTCCTGGGCTCAAGCGATCCTCC